TATGCACTGATATCCTGCCTGTGATCACTGTTACTATGCACTGATATCCTGCCTGTGATCACTGTTACTATGCACTGATATCCTGCCTGTGATCACTGTTACTATGCACTGATATCCTGCCTGTGATCACTGTTACTATGCACTGATATCCTGCCTGTGATCACTATTACTATGCACTGATATCCTTCCTGTGATCACTATTACTATGCACTGATATCCTGCCTGTGATCACTGTTACTATGCACTGATATCCTGCCTGTGATCACTATTACTATGCACTGATATCCTGCCTGTGATCACTGTTACTATGCACTGATATCCTGCCTGTGATCACTATTACTATGCACTGATATCCTGCCTGTGATCACTATTACTATGCACTGATATCCTGCCTTTGATCACTATTACTATGCACTGATATCCTGCCTGTGATCACTGTTACTATACACTGATATCCTGCCTGTGATCACTATTATTATGCACTGATATCCTGCCTGTGATCACTATTATGCACTGATATCCTGTCTGTGATCACGATTACTATGCACTGATATTGTGCCTGTGATCACTATTACTATGCACTGATATCCTGCCTGCGATCACTATTACTATGCACTGATATCCTGCCTGCGATCACTATTACTATGCACTGATATTCTGCCTTTGATCACTATTACTATGCACTGATATCCTGCCTGTGATCACTGTTATTATACACTATCATGTCTGTGATCACTATTATTATGCACTGATATCCCGTGTGTGATCACTAATATCTTGTGTGTGGTCACTATTATTATACACTTATATCCTGCCTGTGATCACTGTTATTATACACTGATATCCTGCCTGTGATCACTGATATTATACACTGATATCCTGCCTGTGATCACTATTTTTATACACTGATATGCTGCCTGTGATCACTATTATTATGCACTGATATCATGTCTGTGATCACTATAATTATACACTGATATCCTGCCTGTGATCACTATTATTGTTCACTGATATCCTGTGTGTGATCACTCTTATTATATATACTGATATTATATCTGTGATTACTATTATTATACACTGATATCATGCCTGTGATCCCTATTATTATCCACTGATATCCTGTGTGTGATCACTATTATTAAACACTGATATCCTGCCTGTGATCACTATTATTAAACACTGATATCCTGCCTGTGATCACTGTTATTATACACTGATATCCTGCCTGTGATCACTATTACTATCCACTGATATCCTGAGCGTGATCTCTGTTATTATACACTGATATTATATCTGTGATTACTATTATTATACACTGATATCATGCCTGTGATCCCTAATATTATCCACTGATATCCTGTGTGTCATCACTATTATTAAACACTGATATCCTGCCTGTGATCACTGTTATTATACACTGATATCCTGCCTGTGATCACTGATATTATACACTGATATCCTGCCTGTGATCACTATTACTATCCACTGATATCCTGAGCGTGATCTCTGTTATTATACACACTGATATTATATCTGTGATTACTATTATTATACACTGATATCATGCCTGTGATCCCTATTATTATCCACTGATATCCTGAGCGTGATCTCTGTTATTATACACTGATATTATATCTGTGATTACTATTATTATACACTGATATCATGCCTGTGATCCCTATTATTATCCACTGATATCCTGTGTGTCATCACTATTATTATACACTGATATCATACCTGTGATCTCTGTTATTATACACTGATATCCTGTGTGTGATCACTGATATTATACACTGATATCCTGCCTGTGATCACTATTTTTATACACTGATATGCTGCCTGTGATCACTATTTTTATACACTGATATGCTGCCTGTGATCACTATTATTATGCACTGATATCATGTCTGTGATCCCTATTATTATCCACTGATATCCTGTGTGTCATCACTATTATTATCCACTGATATCCTGTGTGTCATCACTATCATTATACACTGATATCATACCTGTGATCTCTGTTATTATACACTGATATCCTGTGTGTGATCATTATTATTAAACACTGATAAAGTTGTGATCTTTGCACTGATATTAGTACATCTCTCCCATTTCAGCCATGTGTCCCATGTTACTGCCCCTGCAGTCTTGCTGTATGTGGATTGGTGGAGACATACCATGGGGGGGGTGGGGGGGGGTGATCTCACATACCGGCATTCTCAGGCCCTCCACCAATCCGTGCTCCCGCTACCACTGTCAGGCTGGTGGGCGGAGCCTAGGTTTGCAGTTTATGGATACATGCGCTCAGGGAATATGTTCTGTATCTTCACCTTTGGCCTCCCCCAGGGGGAGGGGGGTATACTCTGTATCTTACCATCTTCTCTTCCTTCTCTCTGATAGGACAGCTCCAGTGAGGTCCCCTGCCCCAATGGCATCTCAAGGCCAGAAAGATGATGGTGTGCTCAGCGAATTGCTTGAAAGTTTTGACCCTCCCCCCTTGGATCGGGGTACAGTATATACAGAATAATATGTGAAGAGGAGGAGTCCTGGGGGGCAGTTTTTAAAAATTACAGTTTTTAAAAAAATGAATATATTTTTCAAACACAGTGTTTTTGGAAAAATATACACTTTAATGATTTAAAAAAACTACAATATCATTGATAGCCCCTGCGTGGGCATACGTTTTGCCTTATTGGAATTAGAGCGTTGTCTGCTCTATTATGCCTTTTTTATCGGTGCAATTGATAGCCCCTGCGTGGGTGTGTTTTGTTGCCTCTGTTTTATACTGTTTAAAATTAATAAAACCATTGAAATACAAAAAAAAACAATATATACCCCAATGTTTTTGTAAAATTTGAAAGATAATGTTATGCCTGGTAAGTAGATACCCAGCATGTCATGCTTTAAAATTGCACTCGCTCGTGGAATGGCGTCAAACTGCGATACTTAAAAATCTCCATGAGTGACTCTTTAAACATTTCTAAAGGTTACCAGTTTAAAGATGCAGAGGAGGTCTAGTGCGAGAATTATTGCTCTTGCTCTGACGTTTGAACACCGTTTACATATGTAGGCATGGCCTACGTATGCATTCACTACTACGTGCGAGCACGGGGGGATGGGGGCACTTTAAACTTTTTTTTTTTTTTTTTATTTAATTTTTTTTTTTTACACTGTCCCTTTAAAAAAATGTAATCACTTTTATTACTGTCACAAGGAATGCATGCATCCCGTGTGATAGAAATAAGCAAAGACAGGTCCTCTTTATGGAGAGATATGGGGTCAAGAAGACCCCACATCTCTCCTCTACAATGTAAACTATTAGATCAAAAAAAGCATTGATCGGCTGGAACCGGAAGTGACGTCGCTCCGTTCCTCCAAGGGCATAGAGATGAGGGGAGGCCATCTTTCCTTCACTGATCTCTATGCCCAGCGCTGGGATCTTCAATAGGTTCTCGGGTAAGGCTGAGAACCACCAAGCAGCGGCGAGGGGCGGGGTTATTTTCAGCACCTATATCGGTGCTTATTTTCAGATCAGCCGAAGGCCGATGGGGGTGTTTTCGGCCGAAACGTTTTGGCCACCAAAATTTCGGTGCATCCCTGGCGGCCAGCACCCTCTAAAAGCCTGTAATCAAACTGTCATTAGACAGCACAAATCACAGAAAAAATGTACAGAGCCAGTCATAGCAGCTCTGTGCTTTGTGATCACCAATGGCCAATCACAGCAATCACAAATGTAAACACTTTCAGTGTTTACATTCAGGAGCCCCCCTTCCTCCTCTGCTGTTGATTGTTTCTGATGATCTTTAAAAGAGAAGTATGGCCTCCTGTGTCCCCATTGGACAGATTTCCCCTCACTTCCTGTCTCAGAGACAATACAAAAAGAAAAATGTTTTAAACAGTTTTATCTGTAATTCCAATATAATAGTAAAATCAGACCCGTCTGCAGGTTTCCTGCAGACTGTCTCAGTCTTTCTCCTTTTCCCCACAGAGTCCTCACAGGAAGATGTGGTGACCCCTGAGACCTCAGCCGGAGAGCAGACTGAACAGATGTTGGAGGTGGCAGATCCTGGACAACCCGTGGATGAGACCCTCGGCACAAATAGTACGAACTCTGACTGCAATTACAGAGATGGATCTCTTTCGTATGTCCCAGGTGAAGCGGGAATCATGCAGAACACAAAGAGTGTTCCCTGGCAAAACTGAAAGATAAAAAATAAATCGTGCAGTACATGCACATGTCCCTATGTGTTAATCCTTTAAAAATGCTGCAAGCACAAAAGAATACCCATTGTTCCTGCCAGAAATCCTGTAAACTCCTAACATCCTGTAGTGACTTGACAGCTCTGCCTCTGCTGCACTGAAGTTCCAAGCAGTGTTGTCAGTCCTCCCCAGTTCTTGGCTGTTGGACTACAGGACCCCTCCCTCCTTTTCTTATACCATAAAGTGGAGGTGTTTTGTATTCCTGCAGAGGATAATGGACGAGGGCTGACGGCACAGTTTGGAATTTAAACGCCCTCCCAAACCAGCTGACTGCGCTGTAGCCGTCATTCGGCTATAACCTGGTTGGAAAATGGTTAAGGTAAATATAGGGCAAAAAACCTACCGTTATGTTCGCTCCGTAAGATGCACCCAGGTTTTAGAGGAGGAAAACGAAAAAAAGTATTCTGAACCAATGGACTACAGACATAGTACAGAAAATGACCAGAGACTGCGGACATAGTACAGGAGATGACCAGAGACTGCAGACATATTACAGGAGATGACCAGAGACTACGGACACAGTACAGGAGATGACCAGAGACTGCGGACACGGTACAGGAGATGACCAGAGACTGCGGACACGGTACAGGGGATGACCGAGACTGCGGACACGGTACAGGGGATGACCGGAGACTGCGGACACGGTACAGGGGATGACCAGAGACTGCAGACACGGTACAGGGGATGACCAGAGACTGCGGACATGGTACAGGGGATGACCAGAGACTGCGGACACGGTACAGGGGATGACCAGAGACTGCGGACGCGGTACAGGAGATGGACCAGAGACTGCAGACACGGTACAGGGGATGACCAGAGACTGCGGACGCGGTACAGGAGATGGACCAGAGACTGCGGACAGTACAGGAGATGGACCAGAGACTGCGGACAGTACAGGGGATGACCAGAGACTGCGGACACGGTACAGGATATGACCAGAAAACTGTGGACACGGTACAGGAGATGACCAGAGACTGCGGACACAGTACAGGAGAGATGACCAGAGACTGCCAACACAGTACAGGAGATGACCAGAGACTGCATACACGGTACAGGAGATGACCAGAGACTGCAGACACGGTACAGGAGATGACCAGAGACTGCGGACAGTACAGGAGATGACCAGAGACTGCGGACATAGTACAGGAGATGACCAGAGACTGCGGACACAGTACAGGAGAGATGACCAGAGACTGCGGACACGGTACAGGAGATGACCAGTGACTGCGGACACAGTACAGGGGATGACCAGAGACTGCAGACCTTTGTGGAGCGGGTACCCAAATTTGACAGGTACCCGCTCCCACTTCACGGAGTTGTCCTCTGTACCCGTCTTCTGGGACACATGACAGGTCCCAGAAGACTGCCGGACCATTCACAAAGTGCAGCGCTTCTCAGGCATGCTCAGTGGACACCCGGCTATGAAGCCACAAGCTGTCACAGCCAGGTGCCCACACTAAAGATGCCGGTGCCGGGGAGAGAAGACGGTGAGGACAGCGCTGGATTGAGGAGCAGGTTCTGCTGCACAGAAGAGCCGAGCAGCTGGCCCGGTATTCTAACATGGCGGTGGCGGGAATACCGGCCGACTGCTCCATATTCGCTCCCTAGGACGCTCAGACATTTTCCCCCATTCTTATGGAGCGAAAAATACCCTATTTCCTATTTTATTTTCTATACAGTAAGTAAGTAGCTGAGGGACAGGACTCGAATCAGAATGGACAGGGACAAATAAAATTGACTCTCACAGTGACACTGACAGCAGTGTGCAGCAGCACAGATGATGATGACACCTCACTGACATCACCTGTCCCCTTCTGAGTCACAGTGACAGTCTCTCTAAACACATGGTGGGCCGTTCAGTCCAATCCAGTCCAAACAGCACTGACAGTCCCGCTCCCGGCTTGCCATGCTCCCGTCCCGCAGACCCCACATGTGAGGCTCCGCTCAGCTTCCCTGCACAATGACATCACATGACAAGCTTAGGCACCACCTCTGCCAGACCCGCCCCCTGTTGGCACTGCTCAAACGCACTGTAGTAGGCACTTGGATGGTCTCGGGCGGCTTCAGGCCGGAACTGTGTATGCGCAGTTCTGAGCTGAGCGTCACAGTCGTATTTTTAACTGACAACCTTTTCCTGTTACTGGCAGGAGAAAAGTGGCCGTTTTTTACTGGCTGCCAGTAGAAATACTGACTGCTGGCATCACTGATCAGAACTACAATTTATATATTAAAATACCCAGAAATCATCTCCCCTTTATCTCTTCCCTTTTGTCTCTTGGCAGTTACAACAGGATGTGAAAGTAGCTATTTGTCATCCCTTCCCCCAGGAGTCGGAATCCTTGTACCCTGCACCGACAGGAAAAAAGGTAGCCGCAGGAAGAGTAAGCCAAAGAAATTAGGTAGGTGCCCGAGGAGACATCTGTTGTTGTGTCATTTACACCCCCATCTCCCCAGGGGGCACTTCGTCACATCATCCAGGACTGAGTGCTACTGGGCTCCCGGTACTCCAGGACTGAGTGCTACTGGGCTGCCGGTACGCCAGGACTGAGTGCTACTGGGCTGCCGGTACGCCAGGACTGAGTGCTACTGGGCTGCCGGTACGCCAGGACTGAGTGCTACTGGGCTGCCGGTACGCCAGGAGTGCTACTGGGCTGCCGGTACGCCAGGACTGAGTGCTACTGGGCTGCCGGTACGCCAGGACTGAGTGCTACTGGGCTGCCGGTACGCCAGGACTGAGTGCTACTGGGCTGCCGGTACGCCAGGACTGAGTGCTACTGGGCTGCCGGTACGCCAGGACTGAGTGCTACTGGGCTGCCGGTACGCCAGGACTGAGTGCTACTGGGCTGCCGGTACGCCAGGACTGAGTGCTACTGGGCTGCCGGTACTCCAGGACTGAGTGCTACTGGGCTGCCGGTACTCCAGGACTGAGTGCTACTGGGCTGCCGGTACTCCAGGACTGAGTGCTACTGGGCTGCCGGTACTCCAGGACTGAGTGCTACTGGGCTGCCGGTACTCCAGGACTGAGTGCTACTGGGCTGCCGGTACTCCAGGACTGAGTGCTACTGGGCTGCCGGTACTCCAGGACTGAGTGCTACTGGGCTGCCGGTACTCCAGGACTGAGTGCTACTGGGCTGCTAGTACTCCAGGACTGAGTGCCACTGGGCTGCTAGTACTCCAGGGACTGAGTGCTACTGGGCTGCCAGTACTCCAGGACTGAGTGCCACTGAGCTGCCAGTACTCCAGGGCTGAATGCCACTGGACTGTCTGTACTCCAGGACTGAGTGCTACTGGGCTGCCAGTACTCCAGGACTGAGTGCTACTGGGCTGCCAGTACGCCAGGACTGAGTGCCACTGGGCTGCCAGTACGCCAGGACTGAGTGCTACTGGGCTGCCGGTACGCCAGGACTGAGTGCTACTGGGCTGCCATACTCCAGGGCTGAGTGCCACTGGGCTGCTAGTACTCCAGGACTGAGTGCCACTGGGCTGCCGGTACTCCAGGACTGAGTGCCACTGAGCTGCCGGTACTCCAGGGCTGAATGCTACTGGGCTGCCGGTACTCCAGGACTGAGTGCTACTGGGCTGCCGGTACTCCAGGACTGAGTGCTACTGGGCTGCCAGTACTCCAGGACTGAGTGCTACTGGGCTGCCGGTACTCCAGGACTGAGTGCTACTGGGCTGCCGTACTCCAGGACTGAGTGCTACTGGGCTGCCGGTACTCCAGGACTGAGTGCTACTGGGCTGCCGGTACTCCAGGACTGAGTGCCCCTGACTGAGTGCCACTGGGCTCCCGTACTCCAGGGCTGAGTGCCACTGGGCTGCCAGTACTCCAGGACTGAGTGCCACTGGGCTCCCCGTACTCCAGGACTGAGTGCCACTGGGCTCCCCGTACTCCAGGACTGAGTGCCACTGGGCTCCCCGTACTCCAGGACTGAGTGCCACTGGGCTGCCGTACTCCAGGGCTGAGTGCCACTGGGCTCCCCGTACTCCAGGACTGAGTGCCACTGGGCTCCCCGTACTCCAGGACTGAGTGCCACTGGGCTGCCATTACTCCAGGGACTGAATGCCACTGGGCTGCCAGTACTCCAGGAGGACTGAGTGCCCCTGGGCTGCCAGTACTCCAGGACTGAGTGCCACTGGGCTGCCAGTACTCCAGGACTGAGTGCCACTGGGCTGCCAGTACTCCAGGGCTGAGTGCCACTGGGCTGCTAGTACTCCAGGCTGGTACTGCCAGGGCTGCTAGTACTCCAGGGCTGAGTGCTACTGGGCTGCCAGTACTCCAGGACTGAGTGCCACTGAGCTGCCAGTACTCCAGGCTGAGTGCCCCTGGGCTGCCATTACTCCAGGACTGAGTGCCCCTGGGCTGCCATTACTCCAGGGCTGAGTGCCACTGGGCTGCCAGTACTCCAGGAGTGCTGAGTGCCACTGGGCTGCCAGTGCTCCAGGGCTGAGTGCCACTGGGCTGCCAGTGCTCCAGGGCTGAGTGCCACTGGGCTGCCAGTGCTCCAGGGCTGAGTGCCACTGGGCTGCCAGTGCTCCAGGGCTGAGTGCCACTGGGCTGCCAGTGCTCCAGGGCTGAGTGCCACTGGGCTGCCAGTGCTCCAGGGCTGAGTGCCACTGGGCTGCCAGTGCTCCAGGACTGAGTGCCACTGGGCTCCCCGTACTCCAGGACTGAGTGCCACTGGGCTCCCCGTACTCCAGGACTGAGTGCCACTGGGCTCCCCGTACTCCAGGACTGAGTGCCACTGGGCTCCCCGTACTCCAGGACTGAGTGCCACTGGGCTCCCCCGTACTCCAGGACTGAGTGCCACTGGGCTCCCCGTACTCCAGGACTGAGTGCCACTGGGCTCCCCCGTACTCCAGGACTGAGTGCCACTGGGCTCCCCGTACTCCAGGACTGAGTGCCACTGGGCTCCCCCGTACTCCAGGACTGAGTGCCACTGTGCTCCCATTACTCCAGGCTGAGTGCCACTGGGCTGCCAGTACTCCAGGACTGAGTGCCCCTGGGCTGCCAGTACTCCAGGACTGAGTGCCACTGGGCTGCCAGTACTCCAGGACTGAGTGCCCCTGGGCTGCTAGTACTCAGGGCTTAGTGCTACTGGGCTGCTAGTACTCCAGGGCTGAGTGCCACTGGGCTGCCTAGTACTCCAGGGCTGAGTGCCACTGGGCTGCCAGTACTCCAGGGACCTGAGTGCCACTGAGCTGCCACGTACTCCAGGGCTGAATGCCACTGGACTGTCTGTACTCCAGGGCTGAGTGCCACTGGGCTGCCCAGTACTCCAGGGCTGAGTGCCACTGGGCTGCCAGTACTCCAGGACTGAGTGCCACTGGGCTGCCCAGTACTATCCAGGGTGACTGAGTGCCCCTGGGCTGCCAGTACTCCAGGACTGAGTGCCCCTCGTGGGCTGGCCATTACTCCAGGGGTCTGAGTGCCACTGGGCTGCCAGTACACCAGGGCTGAGTGCCACTGGGCTGCCAGTGCAGTACCCAGGCTGAGTGCCACTGGGCTGCCAGTGTTCCAGGGCTCTGAGTGCTCTGGGGCTGGGCCAGTGCTCCAGGGCTGAAGTGCCATGGGCTGCCAGTGCTCCAGGGCTGAGTGCCACTGGGCTGCCAGTGCTCCAGGGTTACTGAGTGCCACTGGGGCTGCCAGTGCTCAGGACTGAGTGCCACTGGGCTCCCCGTACTCCAGGACTGAGTGCCACTGGGCTCCCCGTACTCCAGGACTGAGTGCCACTGGGACTCCCCGTACTCAGGACTGAGTGCCACTGGGCTCCCCGTACTCCAGGACTGAGTGCCACTGGGCTCCCCGTACTCCAGGACTGAGTGCCACTGGGCTGCCATTACTCCAGGGCTGAATGCCACTGGGCTGCCAGTACTCCAGGACTGAGTGCCCCTGGGCTGCCAGTACTCCAGGACTGAGTGCCACTGGGCTGCTAGTACTCCAGGGCTGAGTGCCACTGGGCTGCTAGTACTCCAGGGCTGAGTGCCACTGGGCTGCCAGTACTCCAGGACTGAGTGCCACTGAGCTGCCAGTACTCCAGGGCTGAGTGCCCCTGGGCTGCATTACTCCAGGACTGAGTGCCCCTGGGCTGCCATTACTCCAGGGCTGAGTGCCACTGGGCTGCCAGTACTCCAGGGCTGAGTGCCACTGGGCTGCCAGTACTCCAGGACTGAGTGCCCCTGGGCTGCCATTACTCCAGGGCTGAGTGCCACTGGGCTGCCAGTGCTCCAGGGCTGAGTGCCACTGGGCTGCCAGTGCTCCAGGGCTGAGTGCCACTGGGCTGCCAGTGCTCCAGGGCTGAGTGCCACTGGGCTGCCAGTGCTCCAGGGCTGAGTGCCACTGGGCTGCCAGTGCTCCAGGACTGAGTGCCACTGGGCTCCCCGTACTCCAGGACTGAGTGCCACTGGGCTCCCCGTACTCCCAGGAACTGAGTGCCACTGGGCTCCCCGTACTCCAGGACTGAGTGCCACTGGGCTCCCCGTACTCCAGGACTGAGTGCCACTGGGCTCCCCGTACTCCAGGACTGAGTGCCACTGGGCT